AGCTTGTACACCGGTACAGATAAGAAATGGAAACACAGGGAATCCAGGATAGATAAACCCCTCAGGACCAAGAATGAGAGTAGTGATACCAGGAGGGTAAGGGGAAGGTGGGGGGAGAAAGGGGGAACCAATCATAATGATCTACATATAACCCCTCCCAGGGGGACGGACAACAGAAAAGTGGGTGAAGGGAAACATTGGTCAGTGTAAGACATGAAAAAATAATAATTTATAAATTATCAAGGGTTCATGAGAGAGGGTGAGGGAGGGGGAAAATGAGAAGCTGATACCAAGGGCTCAAGTATAAAGAAAATGTTTTGAAAATGATGGCAGCAAATGTACAAATGTGCTTTACACAATGGATGTATGGATTGTGATAAGAGATGTATGAGCCCCCAATACATTTTTTTTTTAAAGTCTCAGAAACTCACAAGGGCTGGTTGTACTCTGTCCTATAGGGTCGTTATGAGTCAGCATTGACTTAATGGCAGTGTTTGATTTGGTCTGGTTTTTACTAGTAAAAATATTTCACATCTCTCATCTATCTATCTGTCTATCTATCTATCTATCTATCTATCTATCATCTATCTATCTATCTATCTATCTATCTATCTATCTATCTATCTATCATCTATGAGATACCACAAGCCATCTGATTTATAGCAACCCTGTAAGACAGAGTTTCAAGAGTTTAATTTTGCTATGAGAACAAATTCACTGGATGGCAGAGAATTTGAATTTTGAGATATCTTACGGGAGGAGGTAGCCTCATCTGTCTCCCAGTGAGCGGCTAGTGGGTTTGAACTGCTGACCTTGTAGTTAGCAGCCCAACAAGTAAACCACTGTCACCAGGGCTCTCTAACCCTCAGTTTACCCAGTGATATAGAGAGGGTGTGTGTGTGTGTGTGTGTATGTCTGGTGTAGTGGTGATGTTTGGGGCTGTGATCCACATGGTTGGTAGTTCAAAACCACCAACAGCCCCAAGGGAGGAAGACTCGGCTTTCTACGCCCATAAACATTTATAATCCCCAAAAGCCACAGGTCGCTATGAGTCAGCATTGACTTGATGGTAGTGAGTTTAGTTTTTTTAAAATGTATACATATGTAGACACGTATATGTGTACACATATGTGTACATGAGTATAAATATTAATGTCAATATATACATCTTCTGGGTCTTAGGATAATTCCTGTTTTACAGGTGAAGATTCATGGCAGATGATGATCTTGGGATGAAAGGGACTGAAGAGGCTGTGTGGGATTCTTCACCCAGTGAATTCCATGGCGGGGGCAGCTGAGACCAATGCGGGAATACAGAATGAGACTGTGGGGCGCATTTCACCACCCTCAGCCCATTGTTCAAGCGCAAAGCTTGTGTGTGCATGAAGTTTCTGAGAATACTGACTACTTTGAATTATTTTGGACCATAGAAATTCTTGGGTATACTCACTCTCTCTCCCTCTCTCTCACACTCATTCACTCACTCACTCACTCACACACTCATTCACCCACTCACTCACTCTCACTCATTCACTCACCCACCCACTCACTCACCCATACTCACTTAACCCACCAACTCACTCACTCTCTCACACTCACTGTCTCACTCTCTCTCACTCA